TTGAGGTGCATTAAGTCGTAAAAATGCTATCTTGACTCATTTGGTGCTTGCATGCTAGTTATAGAAGTCTTAAGTGGATAAGACAAACCAGGGTTTTGGTATTGGGACTTATTAAGGCATGCATAACCATAAAGTTGGAAACTTTATGGTTTGGAACACCTTTTTAGGCTTAGATGTAGATTTGGACGTTTGGACTTGCTGAATTAAGTACTTAATGGAAGTTTTGCATGGAAGTTGCGTACGTTAGGATTACCATGGGGGTACGTTGGGCGTACGTAGTCAACTAACCGATTTTGGTCAAGGGCTGAGTACGCGGGGCGTACTCAGTTGGGTTGACTTTCCGTTGACTTCTGACCTAGTATGACCTTAGGGGCATTTTGGGTATTTTGTTATGAAGTCTAAGGATTGGGTCTCTCCCTATGTATAGGTGACATGTAGAGTGGACTCGCGGAGCGATATTTTTTTCTGCTACCTTTACGGATTTATGAGGTGAGTCTTCCTCACTGTACTTTTGGGTCGAAGGCACTAAGGTCGGCCCATTGGATTGTTATCTTGGTTTATCACATGTTGGTATGTTGTAGTGATCTGTTAGATCTGTTCCTAGTAGATAGGATGATGTTATGCTTAGTGATCTGTAAGACCTATCTGATTGTATTTTTGCTGATTATATATATGCTTATATGTTATGTATATGTTGACATGGTTTATGGGCGGTTGGGTTGAGGCGTACCAGTGTAGACTGAAGGCCAAGAGACCAGGGCGTCCCGGATAGACTGCAGGTCTAAGAGGCGTACCAGTCAGGCCGAAGGCCCAGAGAACGTCCCAGATAGGCTGAAGGCCCGGTGAGGCGTACCAGTCATGCTGAAGGTTCTGTGAGCGTACCAGATATACTGTAGACCAGTGGGGTGTTCCAGTCAGACTGAATGATCTGTATGCATGTTGCCTGTATTATGCTTAGTTACGTGTTTATATTTTGGGGAAACTCACTAAGCGTTGGCTTACAGTTTTGGGTTATGTTTCAGGTACTTCAGAGGACCATGGGAAGGCGAACGCGTGACCGTGTACATCCTCATGTTTTGTGACTATGATTTTGGAGATTCTGATGTTGAAATGCTTTTGAAACTATATTTGTAAACAATTTGTGAAATTGGTTGGTTTTAAAAACTTTAAATTTTTCATGATTTTTATGAGTGTTATAGTCTCGATGAAAAATCTGCTCACCAACGTGTTTCTTTTTCTTTATGTGTCTTTTGAGGGTCGAGTTTCCCAATTCGAATGCTGGACTACTATCAGGCAATCAATAACAAGGTCTCCCAGGCCCGGATTTGCCGAGGCCCATATCGTCACACGCCTATTTGAACCATTCGGGTTAAAATGGTTACCGTTAAATGGGTTAGGATTACCCGACATAGGTCCCACGTGAGATCCGTTCACCTCAAAAAAGGAGTAGAATTAATGCCAACCTCATGCAACATATATTTCCCATGCGTCCCCTTGGCTCCTCAATCCATAGCATCCATTAACGGACCGTCATTCAAACCTTCCGACGCTCCACAATTTGAATCTCGGTTGGTCGACAACCACCGAAACGATAGTAGGTGACAGATTATTCCCCACCGGGACGACGACCTAGGCTACTTGACAAATCTCCCCGTCTTCTAAATCCAGATTCTCCGACTGCCAAGTGTCGAAGATACCGTCAATGTCCTCCTGCTATTTCTCACCATGGATCTCTTGGGTTTCAACAAAAGGTTTAAAAGGAGTCCAATCATTATCGAATTCAAAAACGCCCACTCGCACAACATCTGCATTGATCTGGACATATAGTTCCTCCATGATTTTTCTCATAGACATGGTAAGAATACATATTCTTCCATGAGAGATGTCCTTTTATCCCATAAAAGGTTCTCATTAACCAGGAATTTACTAAATTTGCTGGCAATCTCATGGAAATTTCCTTCATCCCATGCCATAAGAGGAATCCCAGTGACTTTAATCCAAGCTATTCTTTCAAACCGAAAGTTGAACTTGCCAGAGAAATCAACCCAATTGAACCACTTGATCCAAATTGATCTATTAGACTTGAAAACCTACGTAGCTCTATCAGAGCTAGATTTAATGGCCACCAATAAACCACCAACATATTTTGTATCCACAACATCGTACCATCCAGTTCAAAAAGAGAGGTAAAGTTACAGATAATGTCAAATTCCTAGCCTCACCACCAATACCGATTTGCCAGCCCAATCGCCGATCTCAGGGGAGCATTTTAAGGAAATAGGAGGCAGCGTGCACACCCCTAGCAGCCTCCGTGAATGACCTGGAGTCTTTAACAGCAAACACCGAAGAGGGAATAACATGGGAGCGGGATGTTCCAACCTGAACCAGGAAAGGAAAGTTCACCAGGGGTTGGCCTTTGATTTCCTAGCAAGGTTGGCTTGCAACTTCCTTCCCCTCAGAGTAATCCCAAACAACTTAGCCGCAATCTCCTCCGTATCTCGAGCATCAGTGAAACGAATGAAAGCGAAGAAAATATTTTTCGCATTCCCCCCCCCCCCCTCCGACTATGTAAATATCTATCAAGTTCCTAAAGGCTGAGCAAGGTTTCAACAAATCCTTACGACATACATCAACAAGGAGGTTGGAAACATAAAAGGAAGTACTATGGTTGATAAGCATACCCTTAAAATTATGGTTGGTAAGTACGAACTTTAAAGTGTTTGATTTGATGTTGGTACTAAGGTTTGGAATAAAAAAGGTACTTGATATGGAGGACGAAGTTGATGTAGCCGAACTATGATTTGCAGATGTACCTTTGACTCAAGAGAGCATACTCATGTTGGGATGCTTCCTATTTGGTATCATCACTATAGTAATAGTGATCCATTTGACCGAATCTGATCATAGCATTGCCATTTAATTAATGACTAAAGGCATGAACAATAGATGAATAATTTTGAACTTGCTGACATTATTTAACAGGTGGTTGGTAGGTGATGTTTATTTTTATGCTCTAGTTTTAATTTTATAAATCTTAATCTATCGCAACTAAACTAATACACACAATATACAATATACATGATCGTGTAACAATATAATTTTGGTAAGAAAGGGTTTCAAACACAAGAGAAAGAAAACGATTCAGATTAAGTAATTCAAATGTCGATCAAACGTGTAAACAATAATGTGGAGACTGGGGATTTTGTTTAAATTCAATCAAACTTAATTAAAACTAATAATACAAAAACAAAACTAGAAAATAGATTTAAAGAAAAAAGAGATAAGATGTTTTCACATAGATTCGATTCCGCCTTCAAATATTGTGGGTTCCAAAAAAAATGCGATGAATATTAGTTATTATTTACCGATTTCTAATGCAAATAGTTATATTGGTATGATGAACTAATTTTGTATAATTACCAAGACAGTTAACATAGATATCATTCAAATAACATCTAAATAATTATAATTATTTTTGTAGCATGAGAGATTTTATCTAAGTATTAACTTTAATGGTCATGAAAGTCAATTACAAGCATAAGTTGTTCTCCAATGCTCTCTTACACATTTAAGTTTAAGATTATATCACCTAACCCTGAGATTTGATCAATCACAAGTCACAATCCTCAAATGGCGTTGGACAACTATGATTCAAGCTAATAAAACCAAATTAATCGTCTAAATTCTACTAACTCAACAATGGATAATAAAATTCAAAACTTCAACATATAAAGATACTTGATCAAACAAACATAATATATTAAATACAACTAAATATTCCAATAATGGAATCATACCAAGTCATTAGGTTGCATCCACTCCAGTGAAAACATAAGGGTTTTATCCCATAATCAGTTAGTAAATATCAGGGCTGTAAATATCGGCCTAGGCGACGCCTAGACGCTAGGCGGTCTGCAACTGATTACGATTAGGAGTGTTTGGCGGAAATTGGTCAATATCGGTCAAACTCAGGCTAGGCGGTCCTTGGCGGGAATATTTTTAAAATTTTCAAAATTTCAAATATTACATCAAAAATTTCAAAACTTCAAAATTTTAAATTTTTAAATATTCAAAATTTCAAATATTATACCAAATATTTCAAAATTAAAAAATTAAAAAATTTTAAATTTTCAAATACTATATTTTCTTAGGATATATTAAGTTTTAAAATAGTTTTATTAGTAATTTATGGTCCCCGATAAATCCTCCGATTAATCGCTTGACCCCAGTCGACCGCCGAGCTACCGTCGAACGATTTTTACAACCTTAATAAATATAGAAACACATTATAAAGGATTACTAAACACGGTCATTAAGCAAACCGATTTATAGTCTTGATGTTCCTAGCTTCAATTCTTCAAATCTTCGCTCCAAAGTGTTTCTCCAACCTTGAAATTGACCCATATGGACTTATGGATGTTCGAAACACCTTTTAACCTCTTGGGAAAGGTTCCCAGGGGTGAACACCAAATTAGGTTTGAAAAATTGTATATTTATGGACTCGCCGATGTCGCGTCACGACCATGACATTGTAAAAAGAATTAGGGTTGAAAACCTTTTAACCTCTTGGGAAAGGTTCCGAAGGGCGAACACCAAATTAGGGTTAAAAAAATCTTTTATTTATAGACTATGCAAATATAGTAAATGTGTAAAAAGAATCCTGTACAAACGAAAATTTTACAAACCTTGAATTTGATTTCATTAAATTAAATCGCTAACAAAAAAACCATCTTCATTTTTTCTACTCACGTGCCCCTCACATGCACTAAAACATCGAATCCGTGCCCTCAGTCAACTAACCAATCAGAGCACCAATTCACTCATCACACGGATCGAAATCTTACGACATCCCGCCTTCAACCCCTCCCACCATCCAACGGCTGATAACACACATCTCACAATTCGCCAACATATATATACACACTTCCACTACCACCATTTCAAAACATCATCCACTTCAAATCGTTTCAGAGAGAAAAAGCAAAAGTCCAGAGAAAAAAATGTCAGGAAGAGGAAAGGGAGGCAAGGGATTGGGAAAGGGCGGAGCAAAGCGTCACCGAAAAGTTCTCCGAGACAACATCCAAGGTATCACGAAGCCGGCGATTCGCCGATTGGCGAGGAGAGGTGGAGTTAAGCGTATCAGTGGCCTTATCTATGAAGAAACACGTGGTGTGCTTAAGATCTTTCTAGAGAACGTCATTCGTGACGCCGTGACTTACACCGAGCACGCTCGCCGGAAAACTGTCACCGCCATGGATGTGGTTTATGCTTTGAAACGACAGGGACGTACTCTTTATGGATTTGGAGGTTAAGGTCGTGGTGATAGGTGTTTTCATTGCTATTTCAGTTTCCAGATCTACATTGTTTGTTAACATGGTGTTTGTGATAGGCTATGTATCATTGACTTATTTCTCGTAATGCAATGATCGATTTATCTAAATTTGGTGTCTACGCTTTTTTTTTTTTTTTTTTTTTTGAGATTTAAGTGTTCATAGAGTGAATTATGTTTTAATTTGTTACAAAAGTGCCTTGATTTTCCGAGTTACAGAAGTGGGAAGGGATTGTAGAAGAGGAAAGTTCAATCTGATTATGGGGGAAAAGGTTGACATTTTGAAAACGACGCTTAACGTTTTTTTAGATCGACAAATTAGTAAATGGAGCTTTATCTCGATTTCCAAACTTAGAAGTTATTTTTTATTTGGATGTTATTTAGGGTTAGCACAAAATGCATAAAAAGTAATCGAAATCATGTATTTAATTTTTTATTGGGGGATTGTTTGACCATGCTTAAAACTAAAATAGTTATTTTTATATAAAAAAAATAACAGATTGATTAAAACTCAGGGTGTTAACTTGGACAATTATTTCTTGTTTTTGTGCTATGACATAATAATTTTTTTGAAAAATTAAATATGTTTTTATTTTTTTGTTTATATATATTTTATACTTATTTAATAGAATGACATACAAATCTATTAATTTTCTTTTTTAATCTATATATTTGATTTTGACATTTATCTTCGTTAAATGAGTAAAAAAATTTAGCAAAAACAAAAGGATAGAGAATATTTGATATCTCAAATGTTATATGTGATATTAAGGGAGGAAGGAGGGAACGGTGTTTTATGGAGTGGGTTAAGGTAGAGGTGTTCAAAAGTAACCGAATCCGAATATTTGATTCAATACTATCCGAAATTCGGATATTTGGTTTTTCGGGTTTGGATTTGGATAACGATTTTATAGATTTTCGGATATTTTAGATATCCGATATCTGAATTTTTTTTTATTTTATTTTTTAAAAAATTTTATATTTAATATTTAATTGCCTTTACATGAATTATTACAATTATATATGATCATTTTGCTTGCGTTAGTTACAATTGTTATTCATTTTTTGTTGTCTACATCATTAACAATACGACTAATCTGCTTGAGAGGAGTCAAAGACGGAGCTAAGTGTTGGGATTTTTTCAATTCTTAATCAGGTTAGCCCAACAAAGTTATATATAATGGTTTAAATGGTCATTCATGACTATTTTTTTTGCATTTGAAGGACATATATTTGTGTTTTACCGATTGAAAAAGTCATGTTACCCATTTTAGCATGTTAACCTGCCTCGTCACTTGCCAAGTAAGCAGGTGAGTTAACCCGTTGATTCAATACTGAGTTGACTTGATGACACACTTGATGACACATACAAACAGTAATTACTGCCTTTAATTTCCACCAACACCATACCAACCTTACACTGTCGATTCGATTGAGTCCCAAGCACACATCTCAAATTAAAAGGGGACACACCCATGTGGGGTTTGAAGTAAAACAACCCTCAAACTTGTTTACCATATCCAGGCAAACAATCATCTCGAAGAACCCTTAAAAAGCAACAATGTCGGCTCCACCACCTTTACCCGACTCTTTAAATTCTGGTGAAGACATCAACTACAATGTGCTCCACTCAATCTTATGTGATTGTGGTCAGAAGATTTCAGAAACCAATCTGAAATGCAACGGTTGAAGGAGCAGCTCGGACAAGACTATATCGTGCGTAGGATCGACCACATCAGTCTCCAGCACAAACTGGATGACCATGATCAGAAGTTTAAAGTCGTTGGTGTTGCGATGGGTGGCATAATGGTGGGGATGCTCTTGTTGCTGGTGGTTGTGCTCAATTTCGTTCTTAAGCTTGGGTGAAGGGTGGATTTGAAACAATGGTGGTTAAAAAGCTTATCAGTATGTAAATTTTCTGTTTTTTTATTTTTTTATTTGTTTTTTTGGCGATATATGTAAAAGACCTGTCTAAATGACAGGAATTTTGTAAGTGAACTCCAATGATGAATGAAAGACCTGTCTAAGTGACAGACATTTTGTAAGCTTGGGTGATGTAAACAAGATACCTTATGCTGATTCGACATCAATGTTATACACAAAATCATTATCCAGGTGAAGGTCATCACTAAGGTTTTGCAAAACCATTTCTAATATTCTTTGTTCTCTATACAGACAACTGCCATACATAACCCCTTTAAGAAACATCCATCTAAATTTACAACCCTTATGCAGCTCCCTCTCCACCCTTGCTTTAGCCCATCAAAACAAAATTAAAACTTGATAAAATAGTTCTTACCATATGGCATATAATTGACATCCATTTTGACTGTTGATCCTGGATTTGATCTTCTAATCTCCTCACCATATGACCAGAGCTTGACATAGTGCTCCACTAGTGTTCCTTCAATCAGATCAATTGCATACTTCTTTGCACATCTACACTGTCCCATACTCACATCTATACCGAATTTCTCTTTAACCTTATCCCTAATTAGCCTGACACTAACCTTTTTTTCTGTAAGAATTGTGTTGTTTAATGAGTACCTATCCATGAATAGTTGAAGTTTCTTGCATAATTATGCTCATTTATGAGACTCTTAATCTAGAAAGACTTTTCCCCACCCGTCCAAGAAGCCCATATCCTAAATTGCACTGCCCAGAACAACATTTCACTAGTAGTCTCCTACTATCATTTTTTTTGTAACATAACTGATAACCATTTGTGTAACATCCCAAAAATCATGACCAAAAATTTTCATTTTTAAATATAACACTTATAAAACCATTTGTCTGAAAACAACCATAGTATCAATTCATATCAAAACCAGAGTATCAATAGTCAAGCCATATCATGATAAAACAATGTCAGAGTACAAATCCCAGAAATCTCATATGCGGAAAATCGTGTGTGTGCGATGCGCTGCTACCATACCGGCTCTCACCCCTTCGCTGAAGAGGTACCTGAAACAAAGCAGAAAACTGTAAGCACGAAGCTTAGTGAGTTCCCCCATCGTACCACATACCAATAACATATACTGCCTATCCCTCGGTATCTTTCAACTGGTATCTGGCTAGCATAATCAGAAGCTGGACTCCCCTTCGATATCTTCCAACCTGTAACCGGGAGTTGACCTCCCCTTCGATATCTTTCAACCAGTAACCGGTGACTATTTTACCTCTACCACTAACACATAAGAACATATCATGAACATACTACTAGACATGCGTGGGTTCTCACGACCCCCCTCGGTATCTTTCAACCGGTATCCGGGAATAATCCCCCTACTACCACTATCACATATATCACATCATGCTAATCATACTAGGTAGTAGCAAACCAGACAATTATCACAAAGACAATCATCTCAATTATAATCAACTAGTAGTGGGCCGACCTTGGTGCCTTAGACCCACTTCTACTGGAAGGGAACTCACCTCGTAAAACTGCGTGTCGAATATCACGGGAAGTAACCTCTAACAGCTGCCCCGATGACTCCCGACTATCATAATCATAATAATACTCAATCAGAATCTATAACATTACTTAGGGTAAAATGAACAATTTACTCCTTGGTCCAATTTGAACATTCATAAGTCCCAATTCTAGCTTATTAACCCAACCCTCCTTTGGCCCATCAAGGACTCCCTAAGGGCCCACTAATTTCCCAATTTCTGAATTGGGCCTTATCCCCCAAATGGGCCCAAAAAGTTCCAAGTTCTAATATAATAATTCCAAAGGGTCCAATCATGGCCCAATAGGCCCAATACTCTAGTTCCAGATTCCCAAGTCCAAAATTATACTTCATAGTGGGTCACGGGGTCCAAAAGTCCAGGCCCATTCTCTTAAGGCCCAAAAGCCCAAAACATCTACTCTACATGCGTACACGCGACGTACTTGGCACGTACGCCCAACGTACGCTGGCCTTGACCAAAACGGGGAGTTGACCCAAGGGTAGAAGAGGAAAAACCCTTCGAAGGGTACCAAGGGAAAGTCTCTTGATGGCTCCTCTTCAAGTGGAACCAAAGCTGGTTCTATCACTCCTTCTTCCAACCCAAAAGAAGCTCAATGCTTCTATTATCAGGAAAAGGGGCACTGGAAACGTGCCCCAAGTACCTGCAAGATGTTAAGGATGGGAAGGTCAAACCTACCCATGCAGGTATTTACACTATATTGTCTAATAACTCACCACATACTACTTCTTGGGTTCTTGATACAGGTTGCGGTATTCATATATGTTCTGATTTGTAGGGCCTAAGAAGAAGTGAGGATGTGGAGCACGAAAAGATAAACTTGATCATGGGGAATAAGAAAACTTCACCTGTCACCAAGATTAGAGTTTATTCTTTGTTGCTAAGTAGTGGGTTAGTGTTAGATCTGAATAAGTGTTGTTACTCGTCTGTAATGGCGAGAAATATTATTTCCTTTCATGGCTTGTACAAACAAGGATTTACATTTTCATTTGATAATGAAGTTGGTGGTATTAATGCTTTTTATAATAATGTTCTTTATTTTAAAGCATTGCCTTGTAATGGTGTATATGAAACTGTGTCGGTTGTAGACAACTTAGGAAATAATGTATTACATATCGATTCTTCCACTAGTTTGGATAAAGCATCCTTGTGGCATTGTCGTCTTGGACTTGTCAACAAGAAGCACATAGGCCAACTACAGAAGGATGGAGTTTTGGAGTCGTTTGAATTAAAGTCAGATGATAGTTGCGAGTCTTGTTTACTTGGAAAAATGACAAAGTCACCCTTCACTGGTTCTTGTGCTAGGGGTGAAGGTTTGTTGGACCTCATACACACAGATGTGTGTGGACCCTTCAAAACCGCCACAAGGGATGCTAACCGCTTCTATGTGACTTTTACTATTGATTACAGTATATATGGTTATGTCTACTTAATCAAGCATAAGTCAGAAACCTTTGAAAAGTTCAAAGAGTTTAAACAGGAAGTGGAGAATCAGCTAGGCAGGAACAT